AGAGGACGCGATGTTCATGAGCGTGGAGGTCCTGCCCAAGGGCTGGAACTACGACGCCGCCACCATGGCGTTCAACCTGGACTTTGAGGAGTGCTACGCGGCTGGCGAGCTGAGCGAGAGGAACATGAACGCGGAGGACAAGGCCAAGTTTGCGGAGGCGAAGCGCGCGGAGCTCCAGAGCTTCTCTGACAACCAGGTCTGGGAGCAGGACAAGAAGGAGGTAGAGGGCCCCAAGAAGGTTCTGCGCGCTCGGTTCCTGCGGAAGTGGTCGAGGAACGCTGACGGAAGCCACCGAGCCAAGGCGCGGCTGGTGATCCAAGGGTTTCGCGATCCAGACGCCATCGCGGGAACCCTGGCCAAGTCTTCTCCGACGATGACGAGATTGAGCAGGACGTTCATCGTGCTCCTGAGTCGTATCCATGGTTGGACTCTGTTCACGGCGGACGTGAGCACCGCATTCCTGCAGGGCAAGCGCTCGGACCGTGGCATCTCTGTACTCTTGCCATCCGAGGCCTGCAAGATGCTCGGGTACCAACCTGGAAAACGGATGAGGTTGCCCAAGAGCATGTGCGGCTTGAGCGACGCGCCGAGACTTTGGTGGGAGGAGGCCACGGACCGCATGATCGGGCGCGGCTTTGTGGTTCACCCGCTGGGCTCCTGCCTGTTTCTGAGCTACCGGCTGGGCGGGACGAATGTGAAGGTGCTCGACGGCGCTATCGGTCTACATGTGGACGACATGCTAGGAGGCGGCAGCAACAGGGAGGGCCAGGCGTGCTTTTCGGCGCGCGTCCAGGAACTCAAAAAGGTTTTCAACTTCCGGACGTGGGATGACACCGAGACTGGCACTTTGAACGTGGCCGGCGACTCGTCCATGGACTTCTGCGGCAACCAGCTCACCAAGGCGACAAACGGAGATTATCAGATGAGCTGCGAGACCTACATCAAGGGGCTCAAGCCGATCACGATGACCAAGAGCAGGGCCAGCGACCACAAGTTGGCCATCACAGAGGGCGAGCGACGACAACTACGAGGACTTATGGGCAGTTTGGCGTGGCCCAGCAACCAGGCGGCACCCCACTTGCAGTGCAGCGTGAGTCTCGGACAAGGTACAATTAATGAGAGCTCCACCGTGCAGGACTTAGTGGAGGCCAACAAGACGCTGAGGTTCGCCAAGGCCAACAGCGACGTGTGCCAGTTGTTTCCCAAGAGATGCGACGATCCCAACGAGGTGGCGTTTATTTCTATGACGGACGCAGCATGGGCAGTACGACGTGATGGAAGCTCGCAGGGAGGCTACCTCATCCTGGCAGCGCACAGGAGTGTGCTGAGCGGCGAGACGGTCAAGTACACCGTGGTCGACTGGCGATCGTGGAAACTACCAAGGGTGAGCAGGTCCTCATTGGCGACTGAAGCCCAAGCTGCAGCAGGAGGAGTGGACGCACTCGAGTATGTGAAGGTGCACTACAGCCTGATGCTCGACCCGACGACGGACCCGAGGCTCAACGGCACCATGACGGTGCTGGGCAGGAGTGCATTGGTGGTGGACGCCAAGGCGCTGTACGACGCGGCCCAGAAGCCGCACGTGCACAACTTCGACGACAAGAGGACGGGCATCGAGGTGCAGGTGCTCAAAGAGCGTATGACGGCAAGTGCCACGGGCTGGTACTGGGTCAGCTCGGAGCGCCAGTTCGCGGACGGTTTCACCAAGCTGTCGGCGCGGCAACTACTGGCAGACAGGCTGCGCACTGGGACGATAAGCCTGAAGTTCGATGAGAATTTCCAGGCAGCCAAGAGGAAGACCGTCAAGGACCGACAGGAGGAAGCCAAGAGGTTCGCCACACCAAGGCCGAAGATAAGCACAATGACGGCGATGGCGACCATGGCATCCATGACGACAGCAGCCAGCAGCGAGGTGGAGATCTACGACGCAAGGGCGACGGCAGTGATGGAGCTCGAGTGGACCATGTCACCGCAAGTGGTGATCAGGATTTCCCTCGGCACGTTCATCAAAGGAATCATGACGACCATCCTGATGATCGTGGGCCTATTCGCAGTATGCTACATGACGTACAACAGGTGGTCCGAGAAGGAGACGAGCGCGACCCATCCAGAGCCAAGCCCCGAACAGGCAGAAGGAAAGACAAAACATAAACGTGAGCAGAAGGTGAAGATCAGCAACATCAAGTGGAACGTTGGAGTTCAAGGGCCCGTACACTACTCATCTGTGGGCCAGACCGACGGAGTTTACGGACGTTATGTTCATGCTACGCAGGGTTTCTCCCGAGGCTGGGAAGTGACGAAAGAGATGGTGGAATCCCGTGCAGGCCTGAAGGGCCAAAGTGAGTGAGCCCCGGCAAAACACGTTTTGCATCCTGTTCTTGTTTCTTAGTTTCCTACCTTTCCCCCCCCCCTCGCAATGAAGCTATTTTTTGAGAGGTTGATTGCGACGATTGACCGGCGCATTTCTCTCGGGCATGTGTTTACAGCAGGCAATGTAACGACGAGCAGCTGCGAAGGATTTTCTTTAATGAGATAAAGGTGAGTGTTGAATCAGTTTTCTTTCCCTTTTTCACCAGTGTGAATTGTACTCCATACAATGCAGTTGCGAGTGTATTTCAGAGGTTTTCTGACATAAGATGTTAGATACGACCCTCCCCAGCAGGCATGGCAGAGCATGTGTACAGCACGCAGTGCAGAGCAGCAGTCATGACAGCAAGCACCATTGCCATCTTTAGCTCGAGAGGCCTCTCGGCAGACCAAAAGGTTACCATCACTTCTCCCCGCCCGCAGAGCGAGATCGGGGATAGTGTCGAGGACGTTTCGGCCGAGGACGGGAAACGGATTTCGAGAGAGAGTTTGACGACTTCGAGAGCGTCGACGAGTTGACAGGAGGAGGAGGGAGGGAGGGAGGGAGGGAGGGGAGGGAGGGAGGGAGGGAGGAGGAGGAGGAGGAGGAGGAGGAGAGGGAGGAGGAGGAGGAGGAGGAGGAGGAGGGAGGGAGGGGAAAGGGAAAGGGAGTGGAAAAGGAGGCGACGGAGCGAGACGGCGGCGGCGGCGGCGCAAACGCGCGGCACCACGGCCGCGACAGCGACGACCTGTCGCTGCACGCGGGAGAGGAGCCCCCCTGCGGACGTAGGTGGCTTCCCTATAGGATCGCTTCTTCCTCTGGGCCAGCCTCCCCCTCCTCCCCCCCCCCTCCACCTCCTCCCCCTCCTCCTCCTCCCCCTCCTCCTCCTCCTCCCCCTCCTCCTCCTCCTCCTCCTCCTCCTCCTCCTCCCTCCTCCTCCTCATGCTCGTCCGTCCTCCGCCTCCGCTTCTTCGACGCCCCAGGGGGAGAGGGTCCCCGGGAGCCCGAGCACGAGGAACGAACACGTCCGAGACACCCAAATATTCTAAAGGCCCATTTCCCAGGGCCTTCGGTGCCTGCTTTTGCCTCTGACCCCGAAAATTTCGACAACTTCGCTGGAACCAACTCCTCTCTTCCTGGACCTTCTTGTGGCAGACCCAGAACCCGAAATGAGTCCTCCAAACACCGGAAATCGCAACAGACTTCCATCATCATCCGCCACCGTGCCTCCACGGAGTGGGCGTGTTAGAATACTTCCTCGTCATTTCTGATCCTGGAGCTTGACCTTTGCAGCGGTTTCACGGATGCAAGGCGGGCCGTTTTCAAAGTGTTGTTCTCGCCTCAGCGCCGCGCACATACGGCTTAAACATTTGCAACAGCTTTGTATGGAGGCCGGGTCGTTTTAGAAATATGGCTTTCGCCTTAGCGCCGCATAGATTCGGCTTCCAAGTTTGCAATAACTTCACGGTTGGAGAACGCTTCCTTTTCGAGATGTGGCTCTCGCCCTAACGCCGCACTCACTCGTCTGAAAATGTTGCAGCAATTTCACGGATGGAGGGTGGTTTCTTTTCGAAATGTGGCTCTCGCTTCAACGCGGGGCACATTGGTCTCAAAAGCCTTCCATCGGTGTCAAGGACTCGCAGGCAGCTGCTTCCTTCCTAAACTGTGGGGGTCCGTTGTGCCACAAACGACTACCGATACCGCCACCCCTTGGGCCTCACTCGTGGTGAACCCTGCCCAATCTCGAGGAGAATCCAGCTGTGGCGACGAGGGCTCTCCGGGAAGAGCAGTGGCATCGGCCTCTTGATGACGGACTTTGGACCTGCTCGAGGGGGGGGGGAACCTCGAACTGGAACCGCCGGTGAATCGGCGACGGGCCCCAGGTGGCGAACCCGCACGGCCCCGCGCGGCACGGGCGGGTTATGGGGCCCCGATCGGCGATGAATGGGCGATTGGGGGCCGATGCGCTCCCTCCTGACCCTCGTCTCCCCAACAGAGATCCTCGGCGTCGGGCGTTTGGAGTCGGAACTCGGTCCTCTGGCGGCCGTGCGGGACGATCCATGCAGCCCCGGACGCCCCCCGGCGAGGCGCAGCCAGTGGGGGGCGCCCCGAGGCTGGAGAGGCGCCGAGGACCGACGAAGACATCCGAGAAGCTCGAGCTTCGAACGGCCTGGGGTATCGGTATCGCTCCTTCCTCGAAGCCTGGACTCCCTCCATGACGCGACGACGACGACGACGACCTTGAAAATACGACGACGGCGACGCGGACGACGCCGACGACGAGGCAGACGCCGACGCCGACGCCGACGCCGACGACGTGGCCGCCGAAGACGCCGACGAGGACGTCTCGGCCCGCGGTCCGCGCCCTGGGTTGAGCAGGGACCGACCGTCCCGGCATTTCCATAGGCCTACCACGACATGTTCTTAGAACCCAGGTATGCTCGAAGAACAGAAACAATGTAATTAGAACATAAAACCGGCATGTCCTTAGAGCGTGTCATACGAACAACTCAATGCGCACATGATAAAGACTAGACAATACCAGCAAGAGATGATCTGAGAACATCTCGTGGAAGCCACAAAAGGTTCTCAGAACATTCTTCGGTAGGCCTATAGGCAAGCCAGGACGCTTCGCCACTGCTTGACTAGGAACCAACGGCCGTTGCCGCCGCAGCCGTGCACGGCCAGCGGCCGCTCGCCCGTCGCGTGGTGCCGCACGCGCGGGGCCGGCGGGCCGGCGCCGCCGTCCTGGAGGTCGCTGGGCGAGGGAGGAGCAGAGGAGGGAGGTATAGGAGGAGGAGGCGGAGGTAGGAGGAGGAGGAGGAGGAGGAGACGGATCCTTTCTTGATGCGTTGAAGGCGTTGAAGGAGGAGGAGGAGGAGGAGGAGGAGGAGGAGAAATAGGAGGAGGGGGAGGGGGAGGAGGAGGAGGACAAGGAAGAAGGAGGAGGAGGATGCGTTGTTGATGCGTTGAAGGCGTTAAATGATGATGATCAGGAGGAACAGAGGGAGAAGCACAGGGAGGAATAGAGGGATGAGCAGAGGGATGGGCAGAGGGAGGAGGGAGGACGAGGAGGAGGAGCAGGAGGAGGAGGAGGGAGAGGAGAGGAGCAAGAAGAGGAGAACTATCTGGAAAAGGATCTGGGGTTTCCTGAGGCATCGAGCCTCGGAGGAGGGAAGAGGAGGAGAAGGGCACCCTGAGATCATGGCGTCGATTTTTGTTACAACGGGCGATTTTGCTTTGTTTCGGGCCCCTGGACCCTCACACATCGATCCAGCTCGGACAATGCTACAGAAACATTGGGTCCATGGCTCCGGCGGGCTTCTTGTTCAGGATGTTGCATTGTTCGGTGACGTCGGCTCTCAGGGGAGGGGGGGGAGGAGGAGGAGGAGGAGGAGGAGGTGGAGGAGGAGGAGGAGGAGGAGGAGGAGGAGGAGGGGGAGGAGGAGGAGGAGGAGGAGGAGGAGGAGGAGGAGGAGGAGGAGGAGGAGGAGGAGGGAAGGTGCAGGAGGCTAGAAGGACAAGGAAGGCAGCATCGGCAAAGAAAGCACAGGGGGCCAGGAAGGCGGAGGAAGCTATGAAGACTGAGGAGAATGAAACGGCTCCTGAGACAAAGAAAACAGAGGTGGCAGCTCAGACAAAAACAGCGGCAACCGGGGAGATAGAGGATACCAAGAGGCGAAGGCCGAGGAGGCCAAGACCGCAGAGAAACCCAGGAAGGCAGAGGATACTTCGAAGACCGAAGGGGCCAGGAGGGCGGAAGTGGAGGAGAGCGGGAACCACATTTTGAAGAAGACCCGCTCCGAGTCCGTGAGAATACTGCGATTGCTTTGAAACGACTGCGCGCGGCGTCAGGGCCAGAATCACATATTGAAAACCAACCGCCATCTACCCGTGTAACTCTTACAAGCTTGAACAACGAACGTGCGGCGCGGAAACGACAACCACATGTTGAAAAAGACCCGCCATCCCCATCCGTCCAAATAATGCAACTTTAAAGCGTCAGGATCATAAATGGTGAGCGTCAGGGACAGAAATGGTAAGGAAGTCTTGGGCGAAACGCGGGGGGTACAGCGGGGGGCATGATTTAAGGACAAGGAATGGAGGAGGAGGATGAGAAGGGTGAGGAGGAAAGACATGGAGGATAATAGCATGGACAAGGGGGGGAGAGTAGAATGGAGGCAGAGGGAGGAGGGGGGGCGACGAGAAGAGGGAGGCGGGCGGACGGACGAGAAGGACGGACGAGGAGGGCGAGGGCGAACCCCGCCGTCCCGCGGAGGCCCGGCAGGCTCGTAATCCCAGATGCACTCAGGCTCGCCCATGTTGAGGAAGATGCTGCACCCGTAGTCCAAGACCACCGGCAGCGGGGCGCCTCGAGCCTCCGGACTCACGGGCAAGCAGAAAAAGTCTGGCCCCTCCGCCCAGATCATCTTGCCCCTCCTTCCTTTCGCTCCACCTCCTCCTCCTCATGCGCCCTCCTGCCTCCACTCGTCCCGCTTCCTCCTCCTCCTCCACCACCTCATCCTCCTTCCCTTCTATCCCTTCAGCCTTTCTCGCTGTCCTCCACAGTCATCGCCGTCCACATGTTCCTCGTCCTCAACCCGCCTCTTCCTCCCCTCGCTCCTTCCATCTCCCGTCTTCCATTCCCACCCCTCCAACCCCACTCCATGCCTCATGTCATCGTCTGCATCCTCCTCTCTTTTTACCTTCTCCGACAACAACTTTTTGATCGTGCAACAACAGATAGTTTGGGGAAGGGTCCCCGCTTCCGAAATCTAGTTTTGCCTTCAACGCGTTGATTCCCGCAGCCTCCTTGGCTGCCTCCTTGCGCATCCCCAGGGGAGAGGGGGAGGGATACGTAGGAGGTCGTCGCAAAACAAAAAGAGGATGATACGGGGTCGTACTCAGGAGAGGTGAGATGAGAGGAGGAAGAGGACGAATGAGGGGGATACGGAGGGACTACCTACCAAACCACCCCAACCCAACCCGAAGACCCGAATTTCGGGTTGGGGGGGGGTACGGGCGTCATGTGTGTTTTCTCAACGTTCCCCGACCCCCCCAACTGGAAATGGAGGGCAAATTGGGGCCTTCGGGTTGGGTTGGGGTGGTTTGGTGGGCGGTGAGGAGGGACGAGGGAAGCAGAAACAGGAGGAGGAGGAGGAGCAGCAGCAGCAGCAGCAGCCACGCAACCGAGTCTAAGCCACTCCTCGCACCGTGAGCTCACCGGACTGCGTCGGGACCCCCCGAGAGCCGCGCAGGCGAGCATCACCTCCTGCACGCGCAACTGATCGTCGCAGCCCTCCGTGAACGCGCCAGCGTCGGTGCCTCGCTCCATTCCCAAGAAGGAGGATGCGGCGGAGAAGGAGCCGAGTAGGAGGCGGCGGCAAATACAAGGAAGACCAACGGCATGAACAAGCTTTCGGAGCTCCGCTCGGCTGTTTTTGGATCGGCGCCAAAGGGGGGGGGGCGCACACCTGCAAACATGTATGGTGATGCAATCGTTTGTCCCTCGATGCAAGGAGGACGATGGGGAAGGGGAGGAGGAGGCGGGGGAGGAGGAGGAGGAGGAGGAGGAGGAGGAGGAGGAGGAGGAGGAGGAGGAGGAGGAGGAGGAGGAGGAGGGAAGGGGAGGAGGAGGAGGAGGAGGAGGAGGAGGAGGAGGAGGAGGAGGAGGAGGAGGAGGAGGAGGAGGAGGAGGAGGAGGAGGAGGAGGAGGAGGAGGAGGAGGAGGAGGGAGGAGGACAAGGACGAGGAGGAGGAGGAGGAGGAGCAAGAGGAGGAGGAGGAGGAGGAGGAGGAGGAGGAGGAGGAGGAGAAGGAGTGGGTGATCTTGGCATTCCCTTCGGCTATCCTAACCGGTTCCGTTTGCCCACCAGCCAGTGATGAAGAGCGGCTTCCAGTTCGGAGGCAAGGGCCGCGGCTACGGCAACGGGGGGTCGTTCGGAGGGAAAGGATGGGGAAACCAGCAGATGCAGTGCCCGCCACACGCGTCTGGCTTGAACGCCCTTTCCGGCCTAACGCAGCAGCTTGGGGAGTGCGTCTCGGCGGCGCAGGGTCTGGCGCAGTTCGCCCAGCTGGGGGCCGTGCTGAACCAGCAACAGCAGCAACCGCAGGCCAGCTCCAGCGACTCCGCCCAGGCGACCGAGTTGGCCGGGGCTCTCTGTTCCGTGCTTAGCCGTGGTCGTGGCTCCGGGGGGCCGGACAGCAGGCTCACCGCCTCCGTGAAGCGTCTGTCTAACCTGGCCGGGCTCGAGGACGACCCGGCCGACTTGGACGTCCGCATCTCCGAGCTCCCCAGCTTCAAGAAACTCCGCCAGCAGATGGAGGGGGTCAACGGCGAGCTAGCCGGGCAGCGAGCGGAACTTGCGGCGCAGCGCTCCGAGCTGTCGTCCATCAAGTCCGCCGTCGTGGACACGGCCTCTGGCATGCAGGAGATGAAGGCCATGATGGCCGAGTGCCTCCGGGGCCGCGAGGCGCCGCGGGGAGGCCCGCCACCGAGGGGCCCGGGTCCGGGCATGCTCGGGATCCAGCCGCAGGACCCCCCGGCAACGACTGCGGTCCGCGTGCCCATGCTGCAGAAGCACGTCAGCCAGGACATCCACGATAACATGTTGCCAGTACTCGGGATCGGCACCACGAGGCGGGACATGGTGGAGCTCCGGGCCACCATGGACGAGGGCAACATCACCTTCGAGGCCTGGTGGGCGGCCGTGGGCAAGTGCAAGGGCATCGCACTCTGGAAGGGGAAGATCGAGACCCTCAGCGGCGGCAGCCACGCAGTCAACGGCTTGACTATCGAGACGGTTGGGCAGGCCGTTTTCCGCCACGTCGACTCGGATGGGGAGTGGAGCCCGGTGCCTCTCCAGCCGTCCCCCTGAGTTACCCAAGAGCGTGCGTGCAGACCCCGGTGGGGCAAGAGCTGGGGCTATGGCTGTATCTTGTCGGGTGTTTGCAAGATTTGCATGGTGCTCACAGTTCTGTGGTGCGTGTTGCAACTCTGGTGCTTCATACTCTACGTCCGCACAGAGTCGGAAGCGATTGCCACGTCAGCGCGGGTTTTCGCCGAGCAGTGGCTGCCCTGGATCGTGCCATATGGGATGGCGCGACTTCTGGGGTCGTTCGTGCCAGCAGCCGCTACGGGATCCCAGGACAGCGAGATCCCGATGTCTAGCCAGAATGCCCTCGAGGTGACCTTCGGTGAGAGCACTTTGTCGAATCAGACTGCCCCTGAGACGGTTTTCTTCCCTCCTCCCGCCGCCCCTGCTCCCCGCGCCCCTTCCCCTCGCTTCTCCACCCCGCCTCCCCAGGGTAGCGCGTACTCAATGGTCCGATCGACAGTGTGGAATGGACTGTGTCACCTAGCGTGCGACCCGAGGGTCATCGAGCAATTCGGGGTGGCAGGGCCGGCTGTGCTCATGCTATCAGTCTTCGTGCGCAAACTCCAGGCCCGCGGGGCATGAGCCGGCAGACGGCCAGCAGGTGAACGCCATCGCTTTGGCGTGAAGTACTGGCAATGCAGGGCTCACCCACGTCTTTTCAAGGGTTTTTCGGTTTCTGGGCTTCCCCAGAGAAAAGCGAGCAACCGATGGCGGTTGCCGTGTGTACGCCTATGCATGTACCTCTCCCTTTCCCTCCCCCTCGTGGCCTCCTCCCCTCTCCTGTGTGACGCTGTGCGCAAGACCGGAGTGATACGTTTGGGCCGAAATTCGTATCATCGGCCGGCTGGGAGGGCATGTGCAGTGAAGCGACGTGCACCCAGCATGCACCCGTCTCCGCCTCTTCCCTCGTTTATCCCCGTCGCGAGCGTTTTGTCGCAGAAGCGCTGGCTCGAGTAACAATTGTGGCAAGGCGTGTTCAAAGACTAGTCACTCGAGCGCCCAATGGCCAGCGTGGAAAAATACATAAACACCAGTGCTGTCACATCGGGGCCAGCATGACGGAGGCAAGGGGCGGTGCATCGTTGGCATCTTCGTCTTTGCTTTCAGCATTTGTTCATATCCCTTCAGATCTAGGAGGAGGAGGAGGAGGAGGAGGGTCCGTAGCCATTTTGGCTCAAGCCCCACGTCCCTCCTCGGGGATCTCGTGGGGTTTGGGCATCCGTACTCATTTGACTCGAGGTGCTTGCGCGGGGCTCGGCCGCGCGCGTCTCGGTCGTGGGATGGGGCTGCTGTCTGGCTCCGACGCTGCCTTGCTGGTGGGCGCCGCCGTGCGGGCGGCCGTCGAGGCCAAGGCGTCGCACCGTTCGCTGGCCACCGTCGTGCGCGCCGCGGTCGCGGCGGCAGCTTCCGCTGCTGCTGCGCCGCCTGCCGCGCGTGGCGCTGGGCCTGGCGCACCTGGAGACGCCACGGAGCCTGGTGCTCCGACCGCTGCCGCCGCCGCCAAGGCGGATCGGCGGCGACGCCGCCGCCGCCGCCTCGCGGCGCGGCGAGCCGCAGACGCGCCCCCCGCCGCTGGTGCTGCGGGCGCGGGCGCCGGTGCGGCCCTTGACGACGACGATGGCATGGTGGACGACTCGTGGGCCGATGGTGGGCGCTCCGCCGCCCCCTCGGCCGCGCTCGCCCTTCCTCATCGTGCGGATGGAGGTGGGGCTTCAGCGGAGCCCGCGGCGGCTGCTGGTGCAGCGGCTGCGGCTGGCGGAGCCGAGGCCGTGACCTCGTCCGAGGCGTCGATCGCGGAGCTGCAGGCCCGCGCCGCTGCCCTCTTCGCGCGCATGGGCTGTGACGGGGGGACCGTGCCGTCCGACCGTGGCAAGCTGATCGCGCAGATCGCCGCCCTCGAGCGCTCGACGGCGACGCTGGGCTGCGGCGCTGGTGCTGGGCGCGGCTCCGGCGCAGGGAGGGGTTTGCGTGGGAAACGGTGAGGGCCCAGCCGCTTCGCGCGCTGGCCCGCCGTTGCCCCCCCCTTCCTGCACATCGCGGAGCACGTCGGCGTGTTGGCCGTCGTGCTTGCGTGAGGTCGACTGCTTCGACTTCACGGTCGGGGGGTCCTGGTCTCCTCAGGTGGAGGCCAGGCCCCCCGCGGGCTGGTGGCTAGGATTGAACCTGGCCGCAAGGTTGAGTCTAGGAGGAGGAGGAGGAGGAGGAGGAGGAGGAGGAGGAGGAGGAGGAGGAGGAGGAGGAGGAGGAGGAGGAGGAGGAGGAGGAGGAGGAGGAGGAGAGGAGGAGGAGAGGAGGAGGAGGAGGAGGAGGAGGAGGAGGAGGAGGAGGAGGAAGGAGGAGGAGGAGGAGGAGGAGGGGGAGGAGAAGGAGGAGGAGGATGGAGGAGGAGGAGGAGGAGGAAGAGGAGGAGGAGGAGGAGAAGGAGGGGGGGAGGAGAGGAGGAGGAGGAGGAGGAGGAGGAGGAGGGAGGAGGAGGAGGGAGGAGGAGGAGGAGGAGGAGGAGGAGGAGGAGGAGGAGGAGGAGGAGGAGGAGGAGGGGGGGAGGAGGAGTAGGAGGAGGAGGAGGAGGGGGAGGAGGAGGAGGAGGAAGAGGAGGAGGAGGGGAGGAAGAGAAGGAAGAGGAGGAGGGCGTAGAGGGGGAGGAGGTAAGAAGGGGAAGGGGGAGGAGGAGGAGGAGGAGGAGGATGAGGAGGAGGAAAAGGAGGAGTAGGAGGAAGAGGAGTGTTGGGGGGGAGGAGGAGGAGGGGGAGGGGGGGAAGAGGAGAGAAGGGGAGGGGGAGGGGGAAAAGGAGGAGGAGGAGGAGGACGGGGGAGCGGGGGGAGGGGGAGGAGGAGGAGGAGGAAGACGAGGAGGAAGACGAGGACGAGGAAGACGAGGACGAGGAGGAAGACGAGGACGAGGACGAGGAAGGGAGGAAAAGGAAGAGGAACCGAAAGAAGGAGGAAACAAGGAGGATGAGGAGGACAGACCGGCGAGGAACATGACAGAGGAGAGAGGGGAGAGGAGATGATGGTGATGATGATGGGGATGATGATTGCAATGGTGATGGTGATGGTGGTGATACTGGATATGACGATGATGATGATGCTGATGCGTTTGAACCTCCACCCCCGAAGGGTTCGATTATGGATGTTTGCCGCGTGTTCGTCAACGCCCTATGGCGCCAAGCCTGAGAAAAGAAGAAGGTTTCGAGGCCTGCTCGGGTGTCCCTGGCAGGTGGTCTCTGACGTGGCCGTCAGGCATGCACACAGAAGGCGACGATTGGCATACATTGGTTGGAGGATGAAGAGGTGGAAGGGCAACCGCTGCTTCTCAGGAGCCTCCTCGGGGAACCCGCTGCCCATCCAGCGGAGACACAAGCTTCTCAATCTCGGACGGGATCGATATTTGATCATATGGTCGAGGATCACGGGTACAGCTGGATCAGAGAGCAGCGCTGGACAACC